TTCAAATTAAATTTTGCGGTGATAACAATACACCATTTACGGGCGGTTACCTTTCCGAGAGATATTACAAAGTGAGACTGAAAAAACCTCGAAGTTCTCAGTTTCAACAAGGAAATTTTTATCTTAAAGACTGATTAAGATTTGGATCGCTGCGTCTTAAGTTGATAAATTTTCAAACCCGTGTATTACTGTTTACAGCTACCCGCTTTTACACTTCCATTGAACTAGTTGACCCAGCGAGAGCTTAAAGTTATACGCACACATACTTCCGACCGACTAAACAGTTGACTTTGCGACTGCGAAACTCTTATACACTGGTCAGCAGATTCACTAAAAAGTTAACGGAAAAGGAAGAGCGACTTTCCTACTGAAACTCAGAAACTGACGTCATTTTCTGAGCAAAAAGGAGAAAACAGCAAGGTTTTGCATACTTTGCGTTTTGGTTTACCAACAAATGCTCACGTGTTTGAGCTAACCGACAAGTCTCAGTCCCTTGGAATTGTTAATTTCGAAAAGAAGGTTACAAAGGGCACTTTCAGAAAGTTTGGTTAGGAGGTTCGGTTCATGCCATCAACAGTGTGGAGCACTGTTGATCGCATGGTGTTGCATAATTGGCTGTGTACTGTCACCCGGAATTTATTGTTGTACTAAGTCAAAGACCTGATTGCGAAGATATCCATTGGATTGCGAAACTTCAGAGAAGCCGATTCCCTTAACATGAACAAATCCCCCCTCTCTCTCCTACCCTCAGAATATGCAGTTAAAAGGCAGAGAGTATCTGCAATTCTAACGAATGTGTACTGCATTTGAACAAGGTAATTGAAACGGTAAAGGGGTCACCGTCTTATCTTTGACACTTCGAAGAACTGTATACTGAACAATCCTTTGATTGGAGGGTTGGTCACGCCATTTGAATCCCAGGTCACGCTATCCTTATCTTGCTCAATTTTATTACACAATATCTCGTCAAAACTTGAAGGCTATTGAACCAGAGTATTCGAACAAAGAAATGATAACTTAAAAGTACGAATTACAAATATCGAGAGCGATATAAAAGTTTCATTTACTTAACGGTGACGAGACAGTTTGACAATGTTTAGTGTTAAATAATTTAACCAGCTTATTTCTTGTTCTTAAATCCAATGAATATTCTTCATTGTATAGAACTTACTTAATTTGCTCCTGCAGGCTACACTTATATTAATATTTACTTGTTTGGTGTAGGCTAAAATAATTGTCCAATTAATGTTTTTTCTTATCTTTCTTATATTATGAATATTATCTTCACTTAAACGATAAATATTACATTAATCACTTTAGACTTAATAGAAATAACTTAATCTTGTTCCCTTTGGCTCCCATACTACAGAGCTCCTGCAAAATACATGAAAGGACGCAATAAGTGTCTGATACATCACACTCTGTGACACGTAAGTAACTAATGCACTTTTGTTAATTTGTCATGCTTGTACTATTTTTTTGGGTTTTTTTTTTTTTTTGGTCGTGTTTTTTTTTAAAGTTAGGGGACAATTTGGTTGGTAATCCGTCAAAAAAAGTGACAAAATCCATTGAAAAAACATAAAAAGGCTCATAACTGTGAACAATATTTATTGATTTGATCGATTGTCTTCGTTTATCACCATCCTCTATTCGCTGATGATGAATATAAAGGACCACATAAATGTCCAAAATTTTTTGTATGTTTATACCCTCGCCATCACAAAATATTAAGAAAAGAATTGGTGAATTACAATCATACTACTACGATGCAGCTTTCTGAAAATTTGAAAAAGGAAGACTCTCCATTAGGGGCTGAGAGCCACCTTTTAATTTTAGGTGAAATAATGCAGAAGTTTTACAGAAAATCTCAAATTCATTGACCAATCACTGTATGAAAATTTAAATATTTGGCTTTCAGGCTGCTCCTTGTGCTCTTCGAAGAAAATGAATGAGTTATGGGGATTCTGATTAGTTACACCATTGCTCTGGTTTAATTATTAGTTAAGGAGAGGTTAAGGAGAAATCATGACAAGCTATCAATGAATTGGTATTTTTGAAAGACTTCGTTAACTGCTGATCGTAAGTTATATATCATAGCAACAGTGTCCTACGCTGTGATAAACATCCTCCAGTGATAAAGATTTGATGCAACATATTGGTAGGAATGATAAAAAATCCATCAAAACCTTTGTTTGTGTGCTATTCCTACTAGTTTTCTCTGTGCAGATTTTGACAATCACTTAAGAAGTACGATTAAAGCAATGAGAAGGACGACAATAATCAAAACATTTACTGTGGCTCATTACACAACCATCAGAGGAGCAAGTGAAGCTCAATGTCTATGGTGTTTTCAGTCTCAAAGAATTGGAGAATGGCCTTCATTAAGATCAAATGCCATTTATTCTTTCCAGAGGATGAACAATCCTGGTTTTTTGGATCATACGAAAGTCCTGCTGGTATTTCCTGAAAGTACCCAACTAGGGCGCGCAAGAAATATATACTCAGAGGATTGGTCTCTGGAAGTCAATCATGGTTTGGTGGTTTGATAGCGGTCGAGTGCTTATAAGATCAAGCTCATCGTGAATCTTAAAGTGTGATTAGTATACCTTAGCCAACAACAACATGGCGACGGATTTTTGTCATCTCCTTCTACAAAGGAAAAAGAGTACCAATAAGCCATTCATTTAGAGAATTTCTGTAATTTCTAGAAGGGAGAGAGACCACAATGGTAAGGAAAGCTACAAGCTGCTGCAAGACAGGGGATAACTAAATAAAGTCAGTGGATAGGTGACAAGTACCTTGACTGTTTTCATCATCTCCTCGTTGCTACAATGAGAACAGAATTCAGTTAATGTGCTATTTGTGAATTCGAGTTGCGACGTGGTCATGATCATTGTTACTCACTACAGTCTAGATTTGGAAATTACCTGGTTATGCCTAAGTTGTTTGAAAGATATTTTTAATGAAGAGTGCGATGGACGGCTTTATTCAAGTATCACCTATCTGATTAAATGTCATTACGGTGGTTTGGGATTTCAAATCATACAAAAAACGGTGGCTGCATGGGCTGGAAAGTAGTTTCTTTTGGAGTGGAGCGGTAATTGATGAAAGATGGTCTTACTATTGAGGGGACAGCTATCACATGGTTGTTTATACATCATAAGTTGCTGGAATAAACTTAAATAATAAAAGAAATGGAATAAAAGGAATGAATAAAAGATGACATACTTATCGTCTCGTCCTTGGTTTACAAATCTTCTCATAAGAATTGTTTCTCTCTAACAAAAAAAGGGAAGGAAATTAATTGGTGATCTTTGAATGAACACTGGCTTTAGTCGGAATATGCAAAGAAGTGCAGAATACAATATATGATGGTGAAATACTTACAACTATGTTGTCCAGCATGACCACGCCTTCATTAGCACTGCAAGGTACAAATACCACAACATTGCTATGTAGGAAATACATTTGTGAAGGACAGTGATAACTGATGATCAAAAGCTTTTCAAGTCAAGCAGTGATAGCAAAGAAAGAACTTGGGAAAATGATGGAGGGTCTCTAGTTGGGAGTCAAGAGGGGAATACATCAATTATATCCTAATTCCTTGGTGTCAAAGTGGAGTAAAAAAAGTCATGCTACTGTGTGATGTTTAAGAGGACTGAACAGGGAAATTCATGAGTTGGTATATTCTGCAAAAAACGATGTATGAATTTTGAAGTAAGATCCTTTTTAAATGAATTAATTTAACATGTCTACCACTTGATTTCCTCGTAACATATAACCTGTTCCATTTTAGCCTTTTTTAACGTGTAAAATTATATTGTATTAGTAGAAAAAAATTCTGATCTCTACCCTGAAACAAAGCTCCTGATATTAATGCTGCCATCCTGTGAAAATATAAATTATAAGGTAATCTGTTATTCTAAATACTAATGTGAAATCCTCTTTTTGCTCCTTTGATTTTAACCTTCTGCATTTATCATTTGTCACAACAACAGAGACAATTTTTTTTAACAAGTTACCTCGTTTAAGTGGTACGGTTGCAATGGGAAATCTTAACGTTATGAAACGAATCTATTGTTGTGATGTGTGAAATCTTTCCTGCTAAATATACGTATGGTCTTACCGGAATATTCCTTTGTTGTTGACAGTCCATCTTTGCAGCAAGCGATGGAAAGAGAGGCGTCAGTATCCTTTTGATAGTGTTGAAAACCTTGATACAGATCCCTGAGCAATTGTGAAAACTACTATCAGCAATAAAGTTTTATAAAACTCAAAAAGGTAGGTGCATCTTAATCAAAACCAAGAAAACTTTCTTACCTTACCAGGAGGTGTAGCCGATCTCTTTTTGCATCAATTGTAATGCGCCATTGAGTCTGCGCAACGACGTCAGGAGCGAGTTCAATCGAGTTTAACCGAACTCAACCGAACTCCGAACGACTCCGAACTCAACCTCTCATCTTGAGCTTCCAACATCTCGCCTTCGCGACGCCCTTCACCTCAGATTTTCCTGACATGGTGCGTTAACTACTCCATAAATGCTGTGCTTTTCTTATGTTTGTATACTAGCAACATATTGACTTCTCAGCGTCACTCTTCTTTACTCTTCAGCGTTCTTCTTATTTCCAATAATTAATCGTGTTCAGGCATGGCGGTCGCTTCTCCTAACAATGTTTTGGCTTGAGGTTACCTCTTTATGGATGAATGCTTCTCTTCTCCCTGGATTCTTTTCAACCAGATATCTGATTCTTCAGCTTGAAACAACAAACTTTCACAGGACATCATGTTCTTTGGCTATACAGACTCTTGTGCTTTTACTGGAGGTAGGAATCGATCGAAATATGTCATGGTCCGTGTCTGTTAGAAAAGAATAAACTCGACAGGAAATCGTTTTCTTTTCTGGAATCTTACGCGCACTGAGTATAATAGAAACCCCTTAGGCTGTGAGGTCAGCAATCAGGAATTAGTCATGAAACCACTGTTTGTCCCTGCTTGTGTTTTTACGGACGTGTACCACAAACGCATCTGACGAATAACCGGTAAGTATGTCTTTTTCTTTCCTACTGCTTTAGTGATTCCTGATAACGTTATTCTCTCTCCGAAAAAAATTATCATTTTGAAAAACACTTTTGTTTTAAGTACCTCGTGACTCTTGGTGCCTCTAGAATCCATCAATCATGTTTCGTGCTTCATGGATTTGGATGCCGCCTATTTCTATTTAGGGAAAACCTTTGAACTCTCCAGCCAATAAATCATTGGTCACACTTCCATTATTTCATAACATCTTTACCAGAGTGAAAAAATATTATCATCTTTATGTTCCTTTGATCCTTTCTACTCTACTCACTGTCACACATTTATTTTATTGTCCACCCTAAGAATTTTGTTTTCACAACATCTAGCCGATATGTTTCTTTCCTCTCATCACCCATGACGATGTAATGACATTGTTGGTGGAAACTGGTTACAGGTTACTTTTGGGAGGAAAAGGAATCAACATTTCGTCACCTCAACTGAAATTTCCTTTGATTTAAACTTTTTTGATTACGTTTACTCAATTTTTCCCAAAGCTTCTAAGAATTTCAGTCTGAATGGCACGTTTTGAGTTCAGTGCATACATTCGTGACAATCTTATTTCCATCTCTCTACAACGGCATTCTATCCTCAACAGTAACGGCTAGTAATACTGAAACAAATTACAGAGACCAAAAACAACTTTTCAACAACAGTCAATTGGTCAGGATCTGTAGAAAAGTTGATCAAAACGAGTGAAATCTCGAAAGCAGACGACCCCTCAAAGCTTTATTTCTCAAAAGAAAATGTTAAGAAATAATTACGTTCACAAAATTGTACTTACCTGGCTGAAATGATGGTAAAGTCGTCCCTGCCACACAACAGCTAAGAATGCTAAATAACGAGAAAATTCGCAGAAGTTATAATCATGCGATAGGTTCATAACAAAGCAAAGGCCTACTGTGTAGGAAAGAATGTTCCTGTGAAGAGGAATTTTAAACAGAATAATTAATGAAATTTCTTTAGTTTTTTTCTGTCCATTGAAACAACTGTAGGCATTACAAGTACCTCTTAAGTGAATGGTGAATTGTTATTTCTATTTAAGCAGCTTGCACGCTCCCGTAAAAATAACAGAATACCTGATCGCCGGCCACTTATAATCGATAGGATCTGGGTACAAGATTAAGTTTCATGTTATACTACTGTAGACACTTTAAACAAGGAACTTGATCAATTCATTGTAATATCCCTGATTTTTAACTTTTCAATAAGGATAAGGCGATGGAGCTGAATTTGTGACATTAGAGGATGTCTTGAGGAAGTTGCATAGGGGTTTTGACCGCGCGGAATCTTGACGCGAACATAGTTAGTGCTTAAAAAATGTCAACAAACAAGACAAGCATGGCAGCTCGATCCGGTCGCATGATTTTTATCTGAAAAGGTGTATATATCAATTCAGTTTTTGTCTGTTGGACTCAAGGGTTTCCAGCCACGATATCGATAACATCCATAGGTCTTCTACCTTTCAAAAATAAGTCGAAAGATGGGAAACACGGGGGGAAAAATTTTTTTAAAAAGTCGACAGATTCGGAAGTTTACGCATGCTCATATATCGATCTTGTTGATGTTCCATTTTGATGATCATGACGTAATTTTTGGGAGTAAAAAGAGAGATCTTTCGAGTGAGATTCGTCGCCTTTCGTTTCGTTTGCCGATAAATAAAAAATAAAAAACTTGAAAGACTAATTATGAATTAGAGGCAGATAACAAAGATTCGCAAAAAGTTGTGGCCCCCCCGCCTATAAAGTAATCAGCGTGACGAATGCCACATATCGTGACAAACATGGAAGATTTCACCAGAGCATATCGGAAAAATTAAAATCAGCCAAACTACCGCAGAGGACCTTCGTCAACATACTATCTTTAGCCACAAGTGAGAGTACTATCCTTCTCTCGGTTATCCTTTGTGCTCGCTTTCGGGCGTAATTTAGTAGGGCGTTTAATTAGCAAATCTACAAGATAAATCGTAAACAGCTGAAGTAACCTCGTAAAGGGATGAATTTGAAGTTAGGGCAACGGAACATCTCTTGTATGACCCCATTAGGTTGAGGCGCCCTCTGTCGCAATATGGGAAATCAATCTAACATGTTGTGCCTTTATGTCAAACAGGATATTTCAAAATTCATTGTGTCAACGTCGTTGGAAGGATTTGTAAGAAATACAGGCCATAAAAGAATGGCTGCTTTGATAAGAAAATTCCAGGAATAACTATTTTTTGATTCTAATTCATAATCGGTGTTTGGGTTGCCAAGAAACTGAATTTTTAGTCCTTATTTTTTCAAACATAAAATATTCGGCAGGACAAATGTTACATATTGTGAGAGATATGGTAGATTTCTAAGAACAAACACCTTTTTTGCTAATGAAAACTACAGAAAACAACAGTTCAACTATTATTTATTACATATTGCTAACTTTTAGAGATCTTGCAGGTAGAAAACATCACAAATGTTCTATGAAAACATAACATTTGCCGGCGCGTGCGTCGTAATTAGGCTTTAACCTGACAGTCTGACACCTTAAGTGAATTTTGTTCTTACTTCTTATCTCAGCTGAGCGGAAACTTTTCTCAGGTCATTTATTCAGGTGAAATCGACAGCTTTGTATCATTTAGGCTAATAGTAGTTTCTGTAATTTACAATTAAAACAGTGAATGTGAAAGTGATCTCCGCAGTCATGAACACTACTTGAGCTGAAGTGAAAATAAGGCCTGAAAAATTCAGGCCTGTACGGGATTTAAACCCATGACCTTTGCGATACCAGTGTAGTGCTCTACCAAATGAGCCAACAAGCCAACTGGGAGCTGGTCATTATGTTGGTTAATTAGAACAGTGGTCCGTCCTGACAAAGATATTACTTTGTTGACAAGACTTGGATGCCTCGGAAACAAAGAATTAACCCTATGTTGCTCTATCAGTTTTTTTTCGTCACCCCGAAACTTTAGACCACACTTCAGCCCCACTTTGTCATTGCCTCGAATACCCAGGCACATCAGCAACAAGCCGTCAGCGCGTATTAACATAACGTGCTTCAGAAAATCTGAAGGGCGTATGTTTTGATTGTTTATCATGGTAATTGAACTAGGTGGAGTGTCATTTTGTAAAAAGGAATGACATGATTTCGAGTGTAACATGGGATAATTCAGCACAAGTAAATTTCTAAAGACTAACCAAATTGCGGGCGAGTGTCATTTGCACTCTATGAAAATTTACGAGGGCTGATTTAACCCAAATTTCACGAGAAAATCATGTAATCACTAGTTAATAACAAAAATATGACCCTGTTTCCCATATTAGTTGTTATGATTTCTTGTAATAGTTCATCAATTGTTGCTGGAGTTGTTGGGTTTTTCCTTCAAGAACTTGCTTCAAACTTTTAAAACCTCACTCAAGAGTAATTGAGCCTTTGTATTCTTTTTCTGTTCGGTATCCGTCGACAGCAGCAACCATTTCGCGAAAGCCATCATCCTCGTAATCTTCACGGTCCTTCGTACGAACTGTTGCATAAAACTCCTCAATAATGTTATTCAGGGGCTCCGGTTCACACGTTCATATCCGTGTTTGGGAGCTAGACTTAAGCCAGTTGTTTTCTTTTGTCAGATATTTCGTTCCTAGCATTCTCCCCCAAACTCTGAATTAAAACGTTGTTACTTTCTCCTCACCTATCCGCCGTTTTGTTTTGTCTCGCTGTCGCGACTTATCTGTCAATCAATTCAATTTCAACTTTCTGCACTCGATTTCAGCTTTCTGCACTGTTTGGGATTAAATGAGGTGTTCTCAGCCAGTGAGCGTGTTGAAATTCTTACAGGTGTATAATTAATAATGGTAATTGAATCTCGTGTCATGTAATTTGGGCTGTAATCACAAATATGATTTCAGACCAAAATTGCATGACACGAGGTTCAATTACCACTTTATTACATCCATTTTAAAATCGCCCACAAGGACTTGGTCAGTTCAAATATTTTATTGATGTACTGAGCCGGTTTGAAATTAAATTCATCCAACTTTTTGGGGGGAAAAAATAAGAGTTTTGGAAACAAAAGTCGCAAAATTTGCCATATGATAATCTTTGTCCTTCATTTTCCTGCAATTTGATTGGTTACTTTAAACAAGCCTTGAAATCTGATTGGTTGTTTTGTTTTTAGTGTAGCCTCCTCATTGGCTGAGAAAAAGATACGATTTAAAGGTAAAAATAGGGCGATTTGTGAATAAATCGCACCAATTAGAGCCAATCAGATTACAGGGATCACTAGTGATTTCAAAATGGGTGTAATTAGTGAATAAATCGCACCGGTGAGAGCCAATCAGATTGCAAAGGTCACAAATTACTTCAAAAAAGATGTAATAAATTCTCAAATCACTTTCCAAACTGCTCTTGTAGATGATATAGAATCTTATACCACCTTCTCCTTTCGATACATTTAAATTTTGCTCTCCTACCCGGTTGTAGCTTGATTACCAAGCATTAGTTTTGTTTTGGTTAACCTAAATTTACTGCACGATTTAGAGCTGTTTAGAAAGATTAAGTTATATTGAAATCAGTCACTAAAAGATGTAAAATTCGGTCTCAGCCCGTGATTTGTCTGTAAAGTTTGATCGTAGTTTTGGTATTTGTCTTTTTTCATGCTTTCTCTGTAATGTGTTACAATTTCTTGATTGAGCAACCTCACTCGATGATACTCCTTTTGACAAACTTATGGGAGAAATCAGAGACAAAGCAAAATTCTTTACTCAACGAGCCGTAAAAATGTCTCTGGCACCAGATATGCTTGTCTAAAAGGGACAGTACATTAAGTTATATATATATATCTAAGTCAAGTTTCATTTATCAATGTCAAGATTAATATATCTACAACAAGCTTCATAGATCAAAGTCAAAATTAGTATACATATGTTAAGATTTTTCACATGCCTACATCAAGATTCATTAGTACATGACGACATTCTCATGACAAAATTCCTCAAATATATGTATATCAAGATTCGCACATACATCGAGATTATGACTGTCTTAACATTCAGCAGTGTTAACATGCAGCGAGTTTCCTCGTATTTTACCAGGTACTTCATATAAGCCAGTCTTAATCACATAGCCTCGCATCAAAGAGGTGTCTTCGATAAGAAAATGCGCAAGTTTCGTTTTATTCATCTTAGTAGAATTGTCATTCGTTAAATATTAAATTTTTAGCTACGATTAATTTCCTTCTGATGGATCGACCTTGTCCCTTAAACGTACGACGGTTTCAAGGCGTCATTTTACCTGTTTTGGACGACACACATTAACTTTTAATCTCTCCAGTCATTAGACCGTGATGACGATCACCTCAGGCTGGTGAGAACTGTTTTTAGTTGAATTATGAAGGTTTTTTTTTCCTCAGTGGTACGTTTTTTTCTTGAAATTAGCCAAGGTTATAATTGACCTCTATTTCAAAACTGGTCCTGACTTTAGATTCTAACCTGTATAAAATATATTAACATTTATGTAGTGGAATGTGAGAAAAGTGATCTTAAAACGGATTTAATTTTCAGCGGCTTGTCTGGGAAGTCTGGGAAGTTCTGTTTGTTTTGTCTATGTTTCTAACGTGTGGTCAAACATATCTTCCACTAGAAAACTTCCAGTGTCTTCATTATTTTAATTTTATTTTTTTTACCTTCGGCCCCTCCCCACCCCCTTTCCTTATCCCTCAGATCAATTGTTACCTTTGAAAGAAAGACGAAAAAGGTTTATTTTCTGGGGCGGTTCCCACGACTCGAAATTTTGAAGGTTTTTGATAGTCTTCGTTCGCTGTTATAGCTCTAGGCAACTGCGGCCACAAGGCGATTTTCAACAGATTGGTTTAATAATTCCTAATAGCTGTTGGTTTGTTGAAAGGTTCACGTGATGTTTCCTCAAAATCGTTGACGTTGACCTCAATCATTATTTATGAGAATATCTCGAAGAAGGATCGAAGACGGATCGACCCAAAAAAGTTGTTAACCTATGAGGTGTGAAAATGGTGATTAAGTAACTTTTACTGAAAGTTGATGACATATCATCAAGTGTTATTAATCAATCTAAGGAAAATGTTATTTATTGATTTGCTTCAACTGCTTGACTGGCGTTCTCTTGACGAAAGATTCTCGTTTCAAAAGGCGATTTTCATTAGTTCACCACCAAAATCGGAGTTCCTCGTCAATTTCTACCCTCACACCTGGTTTAGGGTGTCATTTTTGGTTTTGTAGCCTTGAATCTTAATTCAAGGCAGCAAAAAATCGATCTTTTGTACTACCACGTTTGATGGGCTCTTACTTGGTGTAGAAGACACGGTATACGTCTCAATAGAATTTCATCACAACCGGAAATAGGAAAACAATGAAAACAATAGTGTGACGTATACTATGTCTTCTACACCAAGGAAGAGCCATTTGATCTTTGATTAGGCTCAGAATTTTTGAAGTGTTATCTATATTTTCAGTTTTCTAGAAAATTTTTGAAAGTTAAAATTCATTATATTTTGGTGTTTTTGAAACAGTTTTGGTGAAACTCAGGTCGTTAATTAAGAGAAGCTTCGAGATGAGCAGATTCTAGGATAAATTAAACTCATGCTACCGTATTAAGATAGTATTTTTTCCCAAGAAGAGCATGTTATTCCTCTCGTAAAAATATTTTTGATACCCGAAGAGCGATTTCTAACAGAGTGGCTGAATATTTCTCAGGTAACTGTTGGTTTATTGACAGGTTCACATAATATTTTCTCAAAATCGTTGACGTCGGCTTAAAGCATTATTGTTTCGGAGTATTTCGAAGGCGAATCGATCCAAAGAAATTGTAAAAATACTGATCATTCGTGTGAAACTACCTTGTAGTAGAGACTATTGTTTTTATTTACCTCAGTAAAAAGGATAAAAATGGTAATGAAGTACCTTTTTTCAAAAGGTTGGTGAGATATCGTCACTATTTAATCCACCTGGGCAAATTTTACTTATTGTTTTGTTACGATTCGATGTGGCTGGCGTTCGTTCGACGAACACTCACAGTTTCACTAGGCAATTTAGTCTCACAAACCAAAGTACAGATCTTTGTCTCTTTATTTCCCTTTTTTTCTTTTTGCAAAAAAAAAAGGCGATTCTGATGAATATAAATCTAGGGCAGAGAAACGTCTTTTATAGTACCCACAGTACTGGAGCGCTGTTTTGGCTCAACCTGAGAAAAGCCATCTGTTTAGTCTGTATTCAAGAAGTTTTGGTAAAGAATTGATATTGTTTCGGAGCTTTGGAGACAAAATATTTGAGGAAAAATTCAATTCGTCAGTAAATGAAAGCTTTGAGGTGAAGAGATTATGGAAAACTAAACTCTTCCCAGCGTACTAAGATATCGTCTGCTTCAGAGCAAGCTCGTCAATTCATCTGTTAAAAATTGCTGGAAGAGTCACACGAGCTGAAGGGTATACAAAAGGTGAGGGAAAAGAAGACCCTGTAATTATTTCCAAATGAATAATTCCCAAACAGAACGAGTTAAAAATTAGGAATGACACGTAGTGGGCAATATCATTTCATTGGCCGAAAATTTACGAGATCAAAGTTTAAGCCCTGTGCAGCGTCAGGTTTTAGTTCTGCTGAAAGCTGTTAAGAAGGCCTTTCTCAGTGATCATGATGCAATTTCTACGTACTATCTAAAGAA